AAAAAAAAAAAAAAGAATTGAAATGGCTTTATTATGATTGTCTCATGACATCTACATTTGAATTTTTATTATTGCAGTGGTGGGCAGAAAACTTAGAGCCTTGTGCGTGCTAGGCTGCCACTCTACCACTGAGCTGCATCCTCAGTCCTGTACTTTTGTTTTGAAGTAATAATTGCTACTATTATGTGGGCATGCTGTTTTATTTTTAAATCTTTTTACATTAGGCTTGAAAGTTATTTCATTTTATAAGATCCATATGTACAATTTGTGTGATATACCTTTATATTTCAAAAGGATGGCTGCATCCGGACTTGCTTAGCTGCTGTTTAATAATATACTGTAACATTTTACTTCCATATAGTATTCTTGAGCTATCTTAGTGTTTTATGACTTGACTGGGTAATATTATTTGCAAGTTATCCTCCTGCCCATGAATTCTTTTTGAGAAAGTGATATTGTTGTTGCCAAGTAAATGGGAAATGATAACTTGGGGGAAAAACATAAGGAATAGGAAATTGTAAACTTTCAGAAGCAGTCATTTCCCTTGACAAGAAAATAAGAGACATGTTTACTTTACTTTGAAGGATGAAAGCTTGCTATTTTTCTGAAGATGGTCACTGCTGTTAGACAAGATAATAAATCATAGATCTGGCTAAATCACTGGATAATTGTAAACATATAAAAATTATAAAGCCAGCAAACTTGGTATCTTTGAATGAGATTAATTTTTTGAACAATGACAGAGTTACGATTTTTCCATTATCAGCTCTCGAAACAAATCAGGTGTCTGGGATGAATCTCTTACGAGTCCTGTTCATTTGTGCTTCCAACCAGGTTCTCAGTTACTAACTGCTAGCTAGCTGTATTCTGTACTTTGGGTTTAAGTTAGTGCCCATTGTCTGCTGTGACTATTCAGTTAAGGCACTGTCATATTAGGGTTACCAAGAGAACTGTTGAAAAACAACCTCGAGCTGCTAACCATTACCTTAGAGAGCATCGAAACATTTTTTATAGCTAACCTTTTTTGTGGCTTAACCTAATAAAGGTTAACTATTCCTATTAAGCCCCATAGAGATTCCAGTTTATATTTTAGTGGTGGAAAAGGACTGTAAGACAGGATAAGCATATAGTTTTTTGAGTGTCATGTAACGAACTTCTTTTTTCCCCTATAGCTGTCCTAACTATCCAGATGCACTGTGTGATGTTGGCATAACAACCGTCAGCTTACATTTTGCAGAACTGTCCTGATTTTCAAATATTTTCTGCCATGTATTTTGATTTTTCATTGGAGAAATGTCTTTTGCAAGCTGTCCGCCTGTTGTCTCTCGCGTCCCTCCTGCTCTTATCTAAGACCAACCCCTATTTGTGTTTTTTTCTCATCCTTTGTCATCTTTTTTTGGGGGGTACCATTGTAGCAGTTGTGTCCTGTATCACCCGTTTTGTTTCTTTAATTTTAGTGGATTATTACCATTGACATTCACATTTACTATTATTATTCTCTCTTGGGAGAAAAAGAGCCACAGAAAAATCTTGTATCTCAGTTGCCCCCTTCTGTTGCTCCATTTTCCTGCTTTCTTCATAATAACTGTCTGAAAGACTGAGCTCCTCTGGGTCTCGGACTCCTTCTGCACTGCTTCCTCTCAAGCACAGTATACCACAGCAGCTGCTCCTGGGTGTCCCTCATCCTCAGGCTGTAGTGTCACACTGCCTGCCAGCAGTGGATGAGGGCCAAGGAAAGACCTAGTAGTGATTCTGCACATGTGTGGTGGGTAGGGAGAGTATGTGATGGTGGGGAGGTAGGCGGGGTGCTCTCGAGCACCTCACATAGTAGCTGGCCTGCTCTCAGAGATGTGTCTGGCAGAAGAGAGAATAACGGATTCTTTTGTGTTTCAGAGGTCATTTTATATATTGAAGCTATGTATTAGGCTACTTAGGGTTACTGCACATGGACTAGCCAAACGCCCACTTACTATAAGAATGTTTTCAGGCGATATTTTTGTAAATATTCTTTAAAAAGATATGTATAATAGAGCAATTAAACTGACCTACTATATCAGAATAGTTACACCCCAGTGTTTTTTTTTTTTTTTTTAAGGGTCTACAGGGTGTTCAGGGTCTCACTACTAGATCGGACTTGTAGTGATCTGCCTGTTTACAGCCTCCCAAGAGCTGGGATTACAGGCTGCACCACCTCCCCCAGTCTCCATCACTGTCTCAGCATGCCCGAGGGGCGGAGCCTGCTCGGCAGGCCTGGGAATGAAACCTTAATCCACTGAGCTCGTTGGTTGGCCCAATCCCAGTGGGTTTTATCCACTCAGAAATCTTTGTACTTACTCCAAAATCATTTTTCTAGAAAGATTATCTTTTTATTTTAGGAAGTAAGGACTTTTTCAATGACCAGTGTCAGAAACAAGTGCTTTATATCCCCATCTTTTTTATTAACTTTTAACAGATTTAATGTTTGTCTTCTTCACCAGATTTAGCATCAGGTGTCTCTGTTGTTTAAAAAGTTCCTGGGGAGGTAGTTCCATGGTATTAAGTGCTTGCCTGGCAAGTGCAAGGTCCTGAGTTCAGTCCCCGGTACCAAAAACAAAAAGTTCATGATGAATGAATTACTAAAGATGCCATCTTAAAAGAGAACAATTTATATAAAGATAATACTGAAAGTTCTGAGGACAGTTTCGAAATTTGAGTTTCAAAGAGATTTTGAGCAGTGGTGGCTTTAATATCAATGAGTGACTGTCACTTTCCAGGCAGTTTTCTTTGATTGGAACAATGCTTGTTTTTGTGTTTTTCTGTGTGGTGACAAAAAATTATAAATGTGATTATTTTATAACCTATATTTTAAGACTTCAAATTATACCTGACTTGTAATCTATATTTTTTAACTCTTTCTCTTTTTACTTCTGGAATAAGTGGATAAATTGTGTTTTGTAGGTGGTTATGGAGCCACAGCTTTAAACATGAAGCGTGATCCTTTACGTATAAAAACCAGAGGGGAAGAATTTCCTCTGACTCTGGGTCGGGACGTCGCTGGTGTGGTGATGGAGTGTGGGCTTGATGTGAAGTATTTCAAGCCTGGAGATGAGGTGAGGTAATCTTTTAATTTTTGGCTCCTTATTCTATTTCTAAATGTACAAATATTATTTTGGAAATACATTTTATATTAACCATTGGTCTTTTCAATAAATGTACTGACCTTTGGCTGGAACCTTCATGTTCTGGATTATGTTGTTACCTTTTTTCCCAAAAAAACAATTTAAAAATAACTGCTGGGTATGGTGGTTCATGCCTATAATCTCAGCTACTTCGGATGCTAATGTAGGAGGATCATGAGTTTAAAAGACCATTCTGGGCAGCTAAATGAGGTACTGCCTGAAAATAAAAACATAAAAAGTGCTTGGTGTGTGACTTGATGCTTCCTCAGTTTAAGCCCCAGTTCTGCAAAAACAAAACAAAATGCATATAAAACCCATAGACTTGAATTGTATTGACTTTTCTAAATTAAGTGCTTTTGAGTCATAAACTTTACTGTTGTAAGACTGCAATTATTTGATTTTTCTTGGAAGAGCTTTTAAATGGCAATTTCTACTTTATGTATTAGATTGTTTTAAAATAGCAAAAGTTTGGTGTAATGTTTGTCAGTTGTCACTTTGAACACATGTGCCAGGAGATTGTAAGGAGCTCTTAATTACAGCGAGGAATTTTCTGGTTGTTTCTTGTTTTTGTATTTTACTAACGGGTCTATAGGGTGTCCAGGGTCTCACTACTAGTTCAGACTCATAGTGATTCTCTTGCTTACAGCCTCCCAAGTGATGGGATTACAGGTGCGTGCCACCACACCCAGTCTCAATTGCCATTTCAGCACATCCTAGGGGCAAGGCCGGCATGGCAGGCCTGAGGATTGAACTCCCAGCCCCTGCGCCTGCTTGCAGGCGCTTTAATCTGCTGAGCTATTTGGCCATCCCTTCTGGTTGCTTTTTTATTAAATAATTGCTTTAATCCCTATGAGATAGGTAGAGCTAGGCCCGGTATACAGATGAGGAAGCCAAGCTATAAAAACAAACAAAAATCCCATAGTGAATAGTGGTAGAGCCAAGATTCAAGGCCCAGACATTGCAGTCTTCCTAGAATTCTAAATAGTCAGTTGGGGCAGGCAGGGGGGATGGCTTAGTGGAATAAGTGCTTCCCTGGCAGGCGCAAGGGCCTGAGTTCAATCCCCGGTTCCACAAAAAAAAAAAAAAAAAAAAAAAAAAAAGTAGTCAGTTGGTCCAGTGGGATATACCATTGTATGTGCTTCTATACTATGACATTTATGTCATATAAAAGTGGATCTTTGTTTGCATTTGTATTGGGAGACACCTTCATACTTGACCTGGGTCAGAAAATACCTGTATCTGTAGTGAAATTGTGTGTCTGTGTGCATTTCAGGTCTGGGCTGCAGTTCCTCCTTGGAAGCAAGGCACTCTCTCAGAATTTGTTGTAGTCAGTGGGAATGAGGTAACTCGTCATCTCTGCTGGAATGCCGTGGGGAAATAGAGACTGACAGATGTCTTTGAAAGCACTGGATGTTTTGCCAATGATATATGACCACTGACTCATTGAAGTTTATGGTTTATGAGCAGTTTTGAAAAAGCTAAAATAAAGCCTGAGAATTTTTGAAAGATTAAAAAATTACTTGGTGTTGCTTAAATAGCACTGCCTAGCAGAGAGCATTTGTCTTTGCTTCATCTCATGGAGCAGGGATTGGAATGCGATCTAGAATGCTGCTGTGTGTTTTGGTTCTTCTACAAAGTGTATACAGTCTGAAACCAGATACATTCAGCACAGATTATGGATTAATCCTAAGCAGAGTTATAGATGTATCAAGCTGTTTTGACTAACTTTATTTTTTTGGTGCAGCCGGGGATTGAACTCAGGCCCTTGTGCTTGCCAGGGAAGCGCTTATTCCACTGAGCCGTCTTCCCAGTCGTGTTTTGACTAACTTTAAACACAGCAGTGCAGTCAGGTGCACTAGCACATGCCTGGAACCCCCGCAATCAGGGGGCTGAGACAGGAGAATTGTGCGTTTGAGGCCCATCTGGGCTACATAGTGAGTTCAAGGCCAGCTGAAACTACATAGGGAGACCCTGTCTTTAAAAAAATAAATAAAGTGTTACCGAGTATACATTTTTGAATAGAAAGGAAGAGGGTAACTTTGAGGAAATTGGCTACAAAAGGGAGACAGGAAAGGGGAAGGAGTATTGCTGACATTGGAGAAAGCCTAAAGAAATTCCTGTCCAGGAAAGGAGAGCAAAGGAAGTAATTGATCTCTTGAACAAATTAGAATGTGTTTGAAGATTCAAGGTTTAATGGTTTATTTTTAGATATAGTTAGGGCTAATGATATTATTGCATGTGGGCTTTTTATAAATGGTGAAATGTATCTTGCAAAATATTACTGTAACTTTGAGGGAGTTAGAGAGCTACTTGGAGAGTATTAGGGATAATTTTGGAATAGAGTGTGCAGTAGACACTGACCTTGGACAATTTATCTCTGAAAATAGCAGGATTGTTAAGAAGGTAGATGTACTTAATTATGCTAATAGACTTGCAAGTCCCTGTTTATTTGTGATTATTGTCTTCGAATATAGGTTTCTCTCAAGCCCAAATCACTCACTCATACTCAAGCTGCCTCTTTGCCATATGTGGCTCTCACAGCCTGGTCTGCCATAAACAAGGTTGGTGGCCTGAATGAAAAGAACTGCACAGGAAAACGGTAAGTCTGTTAATGGTGGCATCTAAACACTCTTTCTTTCCTTCAGTTAATTCTCAGCAGTAGGTTTTTTTTTTTCATAATTTTATTGATAAACAGATAGCAATGAGACAGTTTCAAATCAAATTGGTAGGACAGTTTCAATAACTAACACACTGCATAAATTCTTCTTAGTGGTTAATTGCTGTACAAGATGTGGACTTGAGATCCTATTTACAAACACCATTAGAACAAATCATTCTATTCATTAAGAGAATGTAACTATATATCTATCCTAACCACTTTGAATACACAGATACAAAATGGACATTCATCTGTATACCCCTTTTTTTCTAAGTTCCGTTATTTGAATATTATAGGTGTGTAAACTAGCAAAATATCCTAAAAGAGTCCAGTAGCCCATAATAGTATTGGGTCTTCTGCTTGACTGGCAAGCAGTAGGTTTATCAGAAGCATTAAAATTAGTATTTTATATATATATGATAGACGTCGTGCTGACATTTGAAACACGTTCCAAAGAACTATTTGTGTTGGTTCCTGCTCTTTGACCTAAAATGTGTAGATGGGCTGTAGGAGTCCAAATCTTCTAAAGTAATGTAAAATTTTGAATGGGAACATCTCTGGGAAAAAGGGCCATAGTTTTGTTTTTTTTTTTATCATATTCCCATAGAGGCTATGAATCATCCATTTGTCTGTCTGTCCCTCTGCCCGTCTTTCTTTCTTTCTTTCTTTCTTTCTTTCTTTCTTTCTTTCTTTCTTTCTTTCTTTCTTTCTTTCTTTCTTTGTTTCTTTGTTTCTTTGTTTCTTTGTTTCTTTGTTTCTTTGTTTCTTTGTTTCTTTGTTTCTTTGTTTTGGTACCAGGAATCGGACTCAATCTCACACTTGCCGGGCAGGCACTACACCACTGAGGTTAATCCCTGGCCCTTCCTTATAACCCCTACAGGAAGATGTCAAAGCAAAGGTGTTTGATTTATACCTCTTCCAGGAGTTGCTCTCACATCTGTATAGTTCTATAAAAATCAATTATGAAGGGGCTGCCAGTCACTATTGAATATTCATGATGTATTAGACCCATTCTGATGCTCCAAAGACTTGAATGTATGCTTAAGTTAGTACCAACAGACTGACTGGAAGTGTCTCAGATATGTAGTCATTCCCCTCTCTGGGTTCACGCCCCTCACTTTGTGTTAACCTGTGGTCACCGTTGTCTGAAAGGGGGAGGCCAGTGCAGTAAGATGTGTCAGCAGAATTGAGAATGAGAGGGAGAGACCCCATGTTCACATAACTTGATGACCTTTGTTCTGTGGTGCTTTTTTATTATATGTTTATTGATTGCTTACTATGTCGAGTTTGTAAGTTAAACTTTATCATAAATATAGGAAAGAATCCGACGTAGATCCAGGGGTCATTAACACCTCTGGTTTCAGGTAATTGCTGGGTGTTACAACATACTCCCTATGGCTAGGGGGACTATTGTATTTGAGTTCATATTGGGATTCTGCTACTTTCTAGCTCAGTGATCTACTCATTTGATTTTTTTCTTATGAGTTTGTTTTGAAGAGTAAATGACATAATAAAAATAAAACTGATGGCACAGGTTGTGGCACATAGGAGGTACTCAGAAAATGGTAGCTGTTAGCAAGGAAATTATAATATTTGTATTTTAAGGGCTGGCAACATAGCTCAGCAGACCAAGTGCTTATGCAAGTTCAGGGACCAAGGTTCTATCCCCAGCACCACATGTTGGTACCATAGAAGAAAGTCCATCTTTTTTTTTTTTTTTTTTTTTTTTCAGAAAACTGCATGAAGAACCAGTTAGTTAATGTAAGGGAAAAGAGAGCTGTAGATAAAATTATCATAAATTAAAACAATGTAGTTCTTTTTTTTTTTTTGGAACTGGGGATTGAACTCAGGCCCTTGTGCTTGCCAGGGAAGCACTTATTCTACTGAGCCATCTCCCTGGCCCCTATGTAGTTCTTTTTCATTAAGGGATTTTTGCAGGTAAAGTAAACTCTGTCATTATATTCCTGTTATGAAGTAGTGCACTTTACATCTAAGTTTTAAAAATACTATTTATTTTCCTGGATCCTTGTTTTTAAGAGGACTTTCCTTTCGTGGTCGCTAGCTACAACAATGTCTTCAAGGTTTGAATGACTATCTTCAGTTTCATCCAGTTGGTTTTGCCAGCTTTTAGTGGAATTGTTAATTTCCCAGATTTCTCTTTGAATCTATTTCATGCATTCTCTTTCTTTTGTATATTGTTCATTCAAGGATTTCATCGTTTTTCTATGTTCCTCTTTTTTTATTCATGTTTTTCTATAGATATGCTCAGCAATTCTTTCATTATAGTTATTTCTTTTTTTACCTGAGAAATTATTTCTGATTTGATTTCCTCTATACCCATCTAGAGTTGTTGCTTTACTTCAGTTGCTATCATTTCGGAGATTTCAGGTGTGTGTCTTCAATTACTTCTGTATGGATGTCTTCTGTACCTGTTGTGGGTGGGCTGGGGGCCTAAGATTGCTTTTTGCTCCTTAGTCTTGTCATTTCCTGGAGTCCTCCGGGCATACTAGTTCACCCAAGTTCCCTCCTGCCATCTCCGTGCCAGAGTCTGGGCCCCTCCGGGGTGACTGGTTCACTTGGACTCTGCCCTACTAGTCCACGCAGCCGGTCTGGGCTCTCCCGGTCGAACAGTTCACCTCAGCTCCCTAAGTACTATTTCTAAAAGCATTGTGAAGAGTATTCATCTAATGAGATGCTAACTTTTATCATAAAATTCAAAGCAAATATTTACACTAAAGGTCAACTCTGTTAATTTTTTAAGCTTTTCTGGCCTATCTTTTGAAGTTGCCATTTTCATTAAACACTTTGCTTATGTTTTTTTTTTTTTTTTTTTGCTGAGAAAAAGTATATATTTAGAATTAGCCAGCTGGACTCAGTTTAGATGATCCCAATTTTGTTGGCAACATCCAATGCATCATAATCAGGAGCCAGT